CAGATAGAAAACATATTTCCTCTGCCAACCCAGCCTCCGGGAGAATGGCCTCCTCCCTGCCGTCCCTCTGCCAGTCCCTGCCTGGAGAGAGCTGAATTTAGTTTGAGTGGGCACTCAGCTCCTTGCAGGGCGTGGGGCACTGGCCATGTCAAGTAGGAACTTAGGACGTACTCCAGACATGCAGAGGTGAGCGCTCAAAGTCCACAAAGCACCATTTGGCATGGCCGCAGCGCACAGGGCAGCACCCGGGGCAGCACCGGTCCTGGCACCTCCCCCACTTGAGGTGAGCAGCCCCACTGCTGAGTCAGCACTCTTGGGCTCTGGGCTCTCAGATGCCACCTGAATGTAAATCTCGGCTAAAGCCCATCAGGCCACCACCACAGCCTCGGGAGCAATGTCCTTGGCACTGCTGGGCAGAGCCTGGGAGGTCACCGTCACTCCCTGCACACCAGGTCCCGTCAGTCAGCTCACCTGGAGAAACGGTGCTGTGCAGTTCCCGGGCAGCACGCCAATGCCCAGAGCATGCATTTCTAGAGCCTGGGACCTTCGGCTACCGGCCACACTGCTCCAACAGGGGAGGAGGGTGCAGACGCGCCGCGGGCAGCTCTGGACTTGGACTCCTGCATTCGGATCCCAGGGAATGCCCAGCACCGCCTTGCGCCCCCGGAGTGTCTGCCTCACTCGTGGGCTATCGTGGGCGGTGGTGGGAGGGAAGACTCTCTACGTAGCTTCCTTGTGGCGTGGTCCAGAGAATCACTTAGCCCAGGAGAAAATCACTGACCACTGGGGTGTTAGGAAGGAAGAGCCAGCGTGCCTGGCTGTCTCAGCGTTTCTGCTGCCAAGAGGGCAATCCTGTCCTCCGGGCAGCCCTGCCCTAGGACAGCAGTATCCGCTGGTCCTGGATATGGACACCTGGGCACTGGCGGCACATTCCTGGAGACTTCTGCTCTCTTCCACACACACCAGGTCTTCAAGACCTTCTGAGAAAGTCCACACACTGGCCCTTCAAGGGCCATTTTCTGAGTGAGGGCCAACTGTCTGAAGGCACCTCTCCTGTGTCTCCTGGAGGAAGTGTCCTCAAAGCCACCTAGACCCACGTGCCAGGAGGTATGCCTGGAGCAGGGACTGTGTAGCCCTGGGGCCTGGCTGGGGGGCTGGACAGGTCTGAGATGGAGTCCTGCTCTGCTCATCCTGGGCAAATTATTCAAGCCCTCTGACCCTCAGAATGTATCTCCAGCACAGAGAGACAGCATGGTGTCCCTCCAGGGATCTCCTGGGGACGAGTGAGCTGTTGGGCCACCTGGGGTCAAACGGGGTGTGTGCCTCATGGCGCTGTGGCCTGCATCAGCAGGCTTGAAGGACAGGTGAAAAACCAGACTGATGATAAACAGATAGATACCAAGAGATAGATGATAGACAGCAAGAAAGATGATTGACATGGGTCAAGATAGCTGGGGAATCACAGAGAGTGATCAGATGAAGATGGTAGGAGATGATAGACAGATGAGATAGATGATAGACAGATGGCTCATGGATAGATGAGAGGTGGCAGATTGACAGGTGGGTGTTCCAGATTACTACCATTTCAGCACCCTGACAAGATAACCCTGCTGAAGAACCGCAGGCGCTTCCCCGGGGACCGCCAGTCCTTGGTCATGGCGGAACTTCGGTGCAGGACCAGCTTAGAAGGTGGGTGAACTGCCTACGGGCCTCAGCAAGGCAGGACCGCACACACACACTGGACAGCCTGCTCTGAAAGCCTCAAGCCTCTGCTGCAGTCTGCACCACTCTCTGCGCTGGGTCAGGGCAAAAGGACAGGTCTCTGCACCTTACCTTTCAGGATGGGGCAGATCTTCCAGACGCCGGCAGCCCCTTCCCTGTTGAACTGCCCAAGGGCTAGCTCCATGTAGAAGAGCGGCATCCCAGCAATGACCATGAAGAGCAGGTAGGGCACCAGGAAGGCACCTGTGGACACACGCGCCTTGGCTGCGGTGTGGAAGGGGCTGCTTGGCTTCCTGAGCTCTCACTGTCCCAGACTGAGCGTGGCCCTTTGTACCCAGTGGCCTTTCTGGGTACAAATGTCTGACCCTTAGAGGACTGGGTCTCAGATATGGTGGACAGCCTGCCTCCACAC